ATATATCACAATTCAGCATTACCTAAAGATATCTATGTCTAATATATCACAATCCTACATTACCTAATCTAACAAGATATTTGATGGTACAAACATGAATAATTGGTGTGAAATTTTTTTTACACCGAATCACCTGCCGAAGTTCTATCATATGAAATATTTTCATAAAAATATTTTCACGTCTAGCAAACGTGCCCTAAAATATGAGTGGCACTATGGACCCCACATGATTTTGCCACCAGTTAAATGGATCACAAAATAAACACCAACATAATTTTTCCACCAATTAAGGGGATAACAAAATAAATAAGTATTCAATCGTTCCCCTTCCCTAAAAACATTTTTCTTTAGGGTGTGGTTCCTATAAAGCCTAGGCTCTAAACAATCAAATTAGAGCCTACCTTCAAATGGTGTCGATAAATGTGGTTTCAATACTGAAAATCATTGTGATAGCCTTAAATTATATTTTCATATTTATTTATAAATTTTAAAGTTTCAAAAATAATGTAGATCGATAAATCTATGACAACTTGAAAATCTTAAAAATTGACGGTCCAAAAATGCATTACAAAATACACTATTTCCAAAACTCGAAATCCATTTTTTTCTCATGTCCATGCATCTTGATGTCGAGATGATCAATTTGAAGATATTTTGGCATCAAAATAACCTCTTCTAGTGAAAATTTTAGGGTAAGGTCTAATTTGATGGTTTAGAGCCTCAGCTCTATATAAAATTTTTCCCTTTTCTGTATGGTAGAGGGGCAAATTTGGAAGTGCCGCTCTAGCAATTTTGGAACCATGGATGGGTGCTCACTTAGCATCTATGACTCACATAGGGTGTTACGGCAAGCATCTCTTAAAGTCTCTCACAAAATGTCCTAGAAAGGCTTTTGACGATTCCTGTGTTCCGGCATAAATGCCTATTTTACTTTTTCTTTATTCTATAATAGGTCATTGAGCATCAAATATTACAGGTCAAGTAGGATTCCTCTTTTCAAGCACAATTACCTAAAATAAATTTTTTTATTCTATTATGAAAGGGTAAAGCCATTGGTTTTCAAATATTAGAAAACTAATGCAGATTATAGCTTAAATCCAACAAGCCCATTTCAATCATCCACTGCAATGACGTATGGTTAAATTGAATATGAACGTTTCGTAAGTGAAAGTTTCTTTACTCACGTCCCTAGTTGAAGTCAGGGAAGATCAATATATCGGCTCACCATAAAATCAGAAATAAGTCATTTTTATTTTAAAAGTCGGATGAAAGAATCGGGTTAAACATATGGATGGGTGAAAATACTTTATGCAAAAATATAGCAAATATTTCGGATTAGGCTCAAAAAATCGGAGTGAAAAAAACTGACATATTTAAAATAAAATTAAGTTGAAATAAAAAAATAAAATAATAAGTTGCTGATAAAGAAATTCGGTTTTTGTGGTTCCAACTCTGACTTCAAATGGGGTATTGTGAATGTTTATGACCCATCTGTTTTGGCTTTGAAAGAAGTCTTTTTATGTGAGTTAAATTATGTTATTCGTTCTTTCGGTTATCCTGTTGTGATTGTGGGGGGGGGGGAGGGAAAATTTTAATCTCATTCGATGGCCGTATGAATGTTTGTCTGGTACTTCTATTAATACCTCTATGAGGTTATTCAATAGATTCATTGAAATTAATTATCTTTTTGGACCCTCCAATGGGTGCGAAATTCATTTGGTCAAATAATAGTTCTTAATCTCATTCGATGGTTGTGTGAATGTTTGTTTGGTACTTCTATTAATACCTCTATGAGGTCATTCAATAGATTCATTGAAATTAATTATCTTTTTGGACCCTCCAATAGGTGTGAAATTCATTTGGTCAAATAATAGTTTGGCCAGACAGTCTATGTCTAAAATAGACAGATTCCTTCTTTCAATGGAGTGGTTGGACTCTTTTCCTCTCGCTACAGTAAGGGCTTTAACTGAGCTTTCTTCGGACTATTGGCCCATTATGCTCAATACTGGAATGGTAAAGAGTGGCCCAAAACTTTTTAGGTTTGAAACTGAGTGGCTGCAGGGAAACGAGGTGCTGGAAATTATGAGAACCACTTGGGTCAACACGATTGTGGTAGGCTCCCTAGATTTTCAATTGCACAAAAATTGATAAGGTTTTGGGAGATGTTAAAGCCAAAATTGATAAGGTTTTGGGAGATTTACAAGCGTTCGATTGCTTTATTCAGGAGAGTGGTTGTATTTCTCAACAGGTTATTAGTGATCGTACTTTGAAATTTAATGAGTTAGGGGAGCTTTGTAGGGTGGAAGAGATTTACTAGAGGCAAAGATCTATATCCAAATGGCTTAAAGACGGTGATTTGAATAAAATGTATTTCCATGCTATTGCCAGTGCTCGTAGAAGACAGAAAGACTTTTCTGACCTCTCTATTCCAGGGGTGGATTCTGAAAATGATAATGCATTGGAAGAAGCAGTGATTGGTCATTTCAAAAAGGCATTTTCTTCAGAGGTTAAGGTGACACCTTTGTTTAATAGAGTTCTCTTCAAAGTTTTTTCTGTGGATGGGAAATTACAGCTGGAAAGGGAGATTACTATGGAGGAGTTGCATAAGACTGTTTTTGCACTCCCTAGAGACAAGGCCCCTGGCCTTGATAGTTTTTCCCTTTGTTTTTTCCATCGTTTTTAGAATGTTTTTAAGGGAGACTTATTGGTTTTCGTGAAAAAATTTATGGCAACTGGAAACAATTTTAAAGGGATAAACTCCACTTTTTTGTCCTTGGTCCCAAAAAAGGCTACAATTTCAGGCCTCTCTGATATTAAACCGATCAGCGGCGTAGTCTTATTTTTAAAGATCAGCTGTGGTATAAAGTGCTTGTTTCAAAATATGGGGTTAAGAGAGAAAATATGTAGATTGGGGGTAGTAGAGGTTTTCAGACCTCGCATATGTGGAAAGCTGTATATAATTGTAGACCAATTGTATCTGGTTATTTTAAATGGACTGTGGGGGATGGAAGGAATGTTTCCTTTTGGCATCACAAATGGGTGGGCGAGTACCCCTTAAAAGTAGCCTATCTCCACTTATTTAGGATTGCTAATCAACCAGATGTGACTATTTTGGAGGCCATTGACCATAGGGAAGAATTAACTTCTTGGAAAATGCAATTGCAAACAACCGGTTGAGTGAGCAGATTCTTTTGTAGTGGTGTGCCCTTAGGGAATTGTTGAATGGGGTTTATGTCTCTTATAATACTAAGGATGAGGTGATTTGGGAGATTGA